GCCCGGCCGCACCCCAGCCCCCGCCGCAGACCCCGGAGGGGCAGAGAACCAGGCTGCGCCCCCCGCTGGCCCAGGGGCGCTGACCCGGGAGGCCCAGACCACCCGGCCCGGGGGCCTTGGGGGCACAGGCCGAGGCGCACAGGAACAGAGGAGTCAAAGTGCCGTGGGGAAGGGGAGCAGGGTCCCCCCGACCAAACAGCCCAAACGGGGTGAGCCCCAGGGCCAAGAGGAGCAGAGGACCAGGCCCCAGGCCCCAGGGGCAGGGGACGGGGGCCAACCGCAGACCGCGGGGGGAGGAGCACCCCAAAACAAGACAGACAAGGAGGCGTTGCCCCAGGAGGGAGGCCATCGGATCCGCACTGAGCCTCGAGTCCCGGCCAGAAAGTGGGGTGCTTCCCTGAGCAAGAAGAGCAAGGGGGAGACTCCCCCGAGCAAGAAGGACAAAGCAGGACCACCCCAGACCAAGACAGAGGAAAGGGGCGCGGGGCAGGAGCCAGGGGCGCAGGCGGGGGAGGCCACGCGGGGGCTGGAGGAGGCAGGGGGGCCTCCACCAGTGGCCGGGGAGACCGGGGTGCCCCAGAAGACAGAGGCGCCCGGAGAAGCAGCTGGTGCTCAAAGCGTGGCAGAAAAGGGGTGTGCAGAGCCCCCGAAGGCAGCTCCCCGGGGGCCACCGCCGGAGGCCTCCGGGACAGAGGACCGGCCAGACCGCGGAACACAAGGAGCCCAGGAGTCCAGCGGGATTGCCGAGGGGGGGGTCCCCCAGCCCCAGCTGGAGCCTGTGCCTGAGACCCCGGCCGACCAGCCTTCCACCCAGAAACCGGCTGACCAGGGGCGGGGGCCTCAGGAGCCGTGCAGCGGAGACCAGAGCCCCGACCCCCAGCAGGTGATGAGCTCAGCCCCAGCCTGGGCATGGGGGGCGGCGGGGGACAGGGATAGAGGGGCGGGCAGGGAGGCCCTGGGGTGGACGGGGAGTCGGAGAAGGGACCAGGATTCCTTCCAGGGGGGCGGCTTGGAAGCTTCCACTCAAAGCATGTCCCTCAGAATGAATGAGAGGAACTCCGGGAGGCAGGCGCCAGGGTTCCAGGCTGGGTGTGGTAGTGCACGCCTGCAATCCCAGTCCTGGGCAGGTAGAGCCGGCAGAGGTGTGAATTTGAATCCCACAACGGCAGCTACTGCGTGGAGCCATCTTGCTCCTCAGCTGTCACAGCCGGGGTTCTCGGAGGACAGTGGCTGGTTGAAGGTGCTGTCTGGGAGCTGAATGCTGGGTGTAGAGAGCAGGGTTCCCCGCAGGCCCCAAGCCTGGCTGCAGCTTTGCTGCTTTAACCAGTGGCTCTCTGCATCCAGGCTGGAGAGGGCAGGTGGTACGAGGCGGAGAAGGTCTGGCTGGTTCAGAAGGACGGATTCGAGCTTGGTAAGGAGGGGTCAGCGTTGCCGGGGGCAGGGTGGGGTCATCCCTGTGCTGTTCCCACGCCCCCTCCTGCTGCTGGTCTCCTGCAAGCCCCCACGCAGAGCGGGGAACATTGAGATGCCCTGAGCCTGCCTCAGTCGGCCACATACATGCCAGCATCTGATCCTGGTGTGGGTGATCGATTGGTGATGTCTGCCATGGGCACCGGAAGGGAAATGGCAGGTTGCTGGGTGTCTGTGCCCCGCTGTCTCGGGTCTGGGGGTGAGATGCGGTGCTGCACCTCCCCAGTCAGACTCATCCTCCCTCCCTAAAAGATTTGGGGGTGGTGGACGGGGAGGGGGGGTCCACAGCTCAGAATGCTTTGTGAGAACAGCCCCCCGGGCAGGGAGGGGCTGCATCTCCTTTTGGACCTGTCTAAGCCCCGCTTGCTTCTCTCCCCGGGTCCCTGGCCTGGCTGAGACTCCATCCTTGCTCTCCTTCCCTCCTCCTTCCTCCCCTCTTGCCTCCCTCCTCTCTTCTGTCTGTGCCCCCCAACCAGCAACGGTGCTAAAACCAGATGAGGGAACAGCCGACCTGCCGGCAGGCCGGGTCCGACTCTGCCTGGATTCCAACAGGAGCGTCATGGAGGTGGACGAGGACCGGGTTCACCGGGTGGGTCTCCCCGCCGGCAGACGGCTCGGCCCCTCGAGAGCCATCGCTCTCCTTTCACGGAGCAAGATACCCTTTGCCCTCTGGCTGCCAGGGAACTCAAAGATAACTTGATAACTTGAGGCCTACCATTGGCCACCACAGGCAGTGGCTGTATTTTTGGCACCAGCCTTTCCCTCAGGGCGTATCTCCACTGCAGATCAAGGAGGAGCCGGGCCTTCATTTCTGTCCTGGGTAGTGGGGGGGGTCACAGAGCACCCCCGCATTCTCTAATAAGACCCAGGCAAGAACAAATTGAGATCCCAGCCTGCTCCGAGTTCTGCCGCCCTTCCAGTGTCCTCGGGCTCCGGGCTCTGGCGTGTGACCCCCCCCCCCCCCAGGGCCGGGACTGCTTGCCTGCCTGGGCAGGGAAGTGGTGAGACGGGGCAGGGGCGGGGAGTCAGGGAGGCCGGCCGTGATCCCACGGTGTGCTGTCCGCAGGCCAACCCCCCTGAGCTGGACCAGGCCGAGGACCTGGCCTCGCTGGTCAGCGTCAACGAGCCCAGCGTCCTGAACACACTGCTGCGACGCTACCAGGCCCAGAGGCCGCACACCTGCGCGGGGCCGGATCTGATCGTCCTGCGGCCCCCGGGACCTCTGGCAGGGCAGGTGAGGGGGGGGGGGAGCAAGGACCGGGGACAAAAACGAGCCAAAACCCAGGGCAGGAGAGAGAAATAACAAGAGCGATGGCACACGCAGATCAATAACAATAATAACAGCAGTCGGGGATAAACAACAGCAGCAGCTTGACCACAGATGTGAGCCGGGGCCGGGCCAGCGGCAGCAGGCCACCGGCGGCCCGAGTTTGACAGGGAAGAGAGCTAAGAGAATACCCAGGCTCATCCGTGCCCGAGGCACTGTCCCGGGGCTCCCCAGAGTCTGGGAGACCGTCCCCCGATCCCGCACAGGCCCACCCATAGATTTACTTGCCCTGAAGGGTGGACATTTGGGCCAAGACGGGAATGTCTGCAAAGACCAGCTCTTGCTGCCACCTGGTGGGCAGATCTGGGACTGCAGCCTCTCCTTCCTTCCTTCCTTCCTTCCTTCCTTCCTTCCTTCCTTCCTTCCTTCCTTCCTTCCTTCCTTCCTTCCTTCCCTCCCTTTCTCTCTCCCTCCTTCCGGGTCCCTCCATTTGTGGAGCCCTGCACTGAGCCCTTTGTTGGTTGCGGGTCTGCAGCAGTCAGGCTAGGAGGAAGCAGCAGGGATGGAGGGTAGACCGCAGGCAGTAAAGATCACAGTGACCTCAGAGAAGAGTGTGTGTGTGGGGGGGGCATCACCTCATGGGGCCCAACAGCAAGCAGCCCCCCAGGGCCATCCACACCTGGAAGTCAGAGCTGGGGAAGAGTTCTGGAAAGTTCAGGCATTGCCACCCAGCCCGAGGTGGTGGGAAATGCGTGTGTCCCCCGACCCCTACTGGAGCACACGCTTCCAGACATCTTCTGACCTCTGCAGCTCAGCTTCTCGGCCTTGGGCCAAGTCAGGGTCCAGTTCCCAGAATGACCACCAAGGGGCAGCAGAGACCCACAGTGGGCGGAGGCTGGGCGTCCGGAGCCTCTGAGCAGGCCCTGTCCCGAGCCGTGTCCCGGGCTCACCCCGGGGCTGCCGTCCTGCAGGTGCCCCGGGCCCCCTGGGACAGGCTTCCAGCCCACGTCGGCTCCTTGGCCCAGCGGGCATACTGGGCACTGCTGAGCCAACGGAGAGACCAGAGCATCGTGGCCCTGGGCCGGAGCGGGGCGGGGAAGACGGCATGCTGCCAGCAGGTTCTGGAACACCTGGTGCAGATGGCGGGCGGCGTGGACGGCAGGGTTGCAGGTACGGTGGCCTCCAGGGTCAGGCAGCGTGGGGTGCCCCGGGCCCCGGGCCCTCTGGGAATTAGCCTTTTGTCCTCCTCTTTGGATGTGGGGGCGGCCCCTGCCCCAGGTCCCCAACCCTCCACCGACCTCGTCCCCCCGACAGTGGACAAGATCCGCGCGGCCTTCACGGTCCTCAGGGCCTTCGGCTCTGCGTGCACCAACCACGGCCACGCGGCCACCAAGTTTGCAATGGCCATGTCGCTGGACTTCAGCGCCACCGGACGCGTCACGGCCGCCCAGCTGCAGGTGAGGCTCTGGGGGAGGCGGGGGGAGACCTGGGGGGCTGCGTCCTGAGCCTCGCTATGTGACAGACCCCCCCCACCCCTTGGCTCCAGGGCTCTGGGCTCTGCCTGGGCCCTGCTCGGATGGCAGTGGCGGCCACCTAGGCCTGGCCTTTTCTTTCTTCTGTTGCTTACTGAGGTTAGAACTCGGGGCCTTTGCACCTGCTCCGTGGGCGCTCTGCTGCTTGAGTCACGCCCCAGACCCCTTTGGCTTCAGTGACTTTGTAAGAGTCTGGCTTTCTGGCTGGAGCCAGCGGCCGCCTGGGCTGCGGGAGCCGGCTCTGTGGCGCCCTCTGGCGGCTGTGCATAGCCACACACACGCGTGTGACCACGGCTGCCCGCGTCTCCCTGCAGACCATGCTTCTGGAGACCAGCCGGGTGAGCCAGCGGCCGGAAGGGGAAGGAAACTTCCAGGTGTTCTCCCAAATGCTGGCCGGGCTGGACCTGGATCTCAGGTGGGCACCCGCTGTCCCCAGGAGCGTGGTGGTCACTGCGGGGGGTCCCCTCCCCTCAGGGCCCCCGGGGGTCCCCCTCACCTCCCTTCCCCTCCTACCCCATCTCCCCCAGGACGGAGCTGAATCTGCACCAGATGGCTGACGGCCACGCCTTCGGCATGGGTGATTGGTCCAAGGTGAGCGGGGGTCCTGGCCGGGGCCCGGGGTGCACCCTGGGGGGGTGAGGGAGGCACCCCGCCCTGGCCGGGGGTCTGTGTCCATCTGCACGGTGGCCCTCGGGCGCCTCGGGGGGCGGGGTCAGCGCGGGGGCCGCGTGGCGGTGGAGGAGCGCGTGGCCCGGGCTGGACTGGCTCGGGCCGTGGGGCCCCGGGGCAGCCGGGGTGCAGGGATCTTTGGGACGCTTCCTGCTGACACGGGCTGGGGCGCCTTGGAGAGTCGCGCTGACTGCTGACTGCTTGTTTGGGCTTTTGTTCCCCTGTGGATATCTATTTTTTGTACCGGTTCCAGGACTTGAACTCAGTCCCTAGGCACTGTCCCTGAGCATTCGTTTTTAATTTGCTCAAGGCTGGTGCACTACCACTTGAGCCGCAGCTCTACTTTTGGCTTCTTGGTGGCCCATTGGAGATTAGAGTTTCCTACCTAGCCTGGCTTTGAACCCTGATCCTCAGAGCTCAGCCTCCTGCTTCCCTTATGGATATTTTAATGATGATTTCCGCCCCGTCCCTCCCCATCCTAACTCTGCAGTGTGGTGGGCCGCACAGCCTGACTGAAAGACCTACGTGGCCTTAGTCAGGGAAGGCTTCTTAGCCAATGGGACACCTAACCTGGGTTTTGAAGGATGAGTAGGAGTTGGATGGGCGGGCTAGCTGATTTCCTCCCCTGAGCTACTTCCCCAATACATTTGGGGGAGGAAATGGTGTTGGAATGATTGGATACGGTGGACGCTCTCTCCTCCCGTTTGCTCAGCCAATTGTGTGGCCTCACGTGTGCGGGCGGCCGCTGCGGCCATGCCCGGGCGCGCTCCCTCCGACTCGCCAGGCCTCCCCTGCGCCCTCTGTGGTCGGGTGCGGAGCCTCTTCCACCCCTGGCCACAGGAGTCGGGGAGCAGCACGCACCCCTCGCTCCCTCTGCTCCTCCGCCCTGGGCTCAGGGCCTGGTACCCCTCCCTGTTCCCATGGCAACAGAATCCGAACCATCCTGGGCCCGCGCCCCGAGGGATGGAGCGCTCAGGGCGGGGCTCGAGAACCCGCCCCTCCGCACAGCCCCCCAGAAGGGCTTTTGTTTTGTTTTGGTTTTCTTTGGGTGGTTAATTGGAGATATTCGAACTCTGGGCCTGGGCGCTGTCCCTCAGCTCTTCAGCTCAAGGCTAGCGCTCTACCACTTGAGCCACAGCGCCACTTCCGGCTTTTTCTGCTTATGTGGTGCTGAGGAATCGAACCCAGGGCCTCAAGTGCTCTACCACTGAGCCACTTTCCCAGCCCCCTGCGAGGGCGGCTTTCAAGTCTTTGTGCTCAGCTTTCTCCCGCCCCGTGCTTCTCCGGGTCTTTCTCCTCCGTCCTCTGTTCTCCGTCCTCCACGGAAACACATCCACATCCTTCCAGGCCAGACTGCAGCCATGGGGCGGGGAGGGGGATGGGAGCAGAGTCTGGGAGGCGTCTGGGGAGGGACACGGTGGCGGCACTGGCCGCCCCGGCCGCCCCCTGGCCCCAGCCACAGTTGTGCTCTTGGGTCACCATCGGGGCCATCACCATCTTCTTGGCTTGTTGCTGCTGCCTCTCAGCCGGGCTCCGCCCTGGGGCACGTTCTTTACTGTTATTGTTGTGGTGCGGTGTTTTGCTTTGTTTTGTGTTTGGGTGTCAGTCCTGGGGCTTGAACTCAGGGCCTGCGCGCTGTCCCTGCGCTCTTCCGCTCAAGGCCAGCGCTGTACCACCTTAAGTCACAGCGCCACTTCCGGTTTTCCGGTGGTTCACTGGAGATAAGAGTCTCACGGACTTTGCTGCCCGGGCTGGCTTCGAACCAGGATCCTCCGATCTCAGCCTCCTGAGTAGCTAGGGTGACAGGCTGCGTCACCAGCGCCAGCTACACATCCCCTTGCCTGCCCCGGTTGTCACTGGGGAGGAAGCCCCGTGTCCATGGGGGAGGGTCAGGACTGCGCTCCTCCTGTGTGCGGGCTCAGAGAGGTGAAGATACTCACCTGAGAGAGCACAGCTGGCGGCGGCCAGGAGGCCCAGGTGGGGTCTGCGAGGCTTCGCCCCAGAGCTGCCCCATCTTCCTGCCCTCTGCCGCCTCTGATTGCACTGGGCAAACCCCACAGCATCTTGGGATTCTGCTGTGTTTGTGGCTCTTTTCCTTCCGCTGACTTCTAAAGGTGAAGTGTAACATGCGTTGTGCCCGGGTGTCTATCATCCCAGCATTTGGGGAGATGGAGACCTGAAAGACTGAAGTGTTAAGTCTGCACAGGCAGAAACGGGGTGAGCCCCCATGTCAACCAGCCAGCCGGGCATGGTGGCATGCACCTGTGATCTCAAGTGCATGGGAGGCATGGGACAGGAGGATCATGGTGGGAGGCCAGCCCAGAGACAAACGGGAGCGGCTCCTTGGACCTCCCCATGTCATGGCCACCGTTGGCCCATGACCCTTCTACAGACCAGTTTGGCTGGAGTGGGGGTGGGCGTTGCACATGCCCGGCTCTTAGTCATGGGTCTGATATTGCTCTGCTGTGTGACCTTGGGTCAGTGTCACACCCTCTCTCTCAATCGAGGCGCCGATGGTCAGGTGGCATTCACACTGCCCCCACTTCTCTCCCACGGCTTCTCCCCAGGTGCAGGTGGGTTATTGTCACCAGGAGCTTGAGTTTCTGGCTCGCGGCCTCTCCGTCCTGTGGGCCCCTGTCCCGGGGGTCCTGGGCCAGATGCCCAGGAGCTTTAGATGCGTTTTCATACCCAACCAATCAAACCAGGGGTCCTAAGACCCCCAAACACACTCCGCAGCCTGTATCCGTGAGCACTCGGCCACCGCGTCTTCTCCTGGCTGCTTGAAGCTCACGGTGGTGCCTCCTGCTGCACTTGATACGGGAAACCAGCTCCGGCCCGGCTGGCGATGGGTCTGGGCCTGGGCCGTGTCCTGGGGTGAATCTGGGCTCCCTGGCCAGCCAGAGGCTCTGGATTGATTAGTGATGTCTGCCACGGCCCAGCAAGGGTGGCAGCACCCTCCGATCACTGGTGGTTCAAAGCCCGCGCTGTAGTGTGGCTTCCCTCGGAGGCCTTGAACATGGCTCCCGGGCCTCCTCCCTCTTGGTCTTGTCCCCCTCCGGGTCTGACCACCCCAGGGCTGGCCCGACCCCCCGCGAGGCCAGGCCGCCGGTCCCCGCGGTGACACCTCCGCCCTTCCTCTCTCCCTCGCTCTCAGCCTGAAGACAAGCAGAAGGCGGCGGCTGGCTTCGCCCGGCTCCGGGCCGCCATGGACGCGCTGAGCATCTCCCAGGGTGAGCAGAGGGCCGTGTGGCGCGTGCTGGCCGCCATCTACCACCTCGGGGCCGCGGGGGCCTGCAAAGGTACGACCTCCCCCCCTCTGGGTCAAACCCTCCCCTCTCCTCTCCCTCCCCGGGTCATTACCATCTCTTCTGCCGTGGATTCGAACTCGGAGCGAGGCGGGTGCTCCACCACGGGAGCCCACCCCTGGTCCTTTTGCTGCTCGTTTACTGATTCATTTTTCTTCAGCTAGGGGCTTGTGCTTTCGCCGGCCCTAGACCAGGGCCTCCTTCCTCTGCCTCCCGAGTGGCTGGGATTACAGGCGTGCGCTACCACGCCCAGTCCCCTTTGCTTTAGCTTCTCCCACGCCGCCGCCATCTTCAGCTCTTGACTAAAGCACGCCTGGCAGACCCTTTTCCCGGGTCAAGGTCATGTCCACAAGCACCGGAGACAGGGAGATGGACACGTCCTTTGGGGGGGGGGCTACCCCCGGTCTCATGTAGGGAGTCATAAGTTGCCGGAGGAGCTAGAGCTGCGGTTCCTACATAAGGACGGGATCTGAACTCTTCCCGGATAACCACCCTGACCCTGGCAGGTCCAATACCCCAGCCAGCGGAGGGAGACCATGTGGCTGGTAGCTATGGCTTCTTGCCACCAGGTGGCAGTCTTGTCCCCTGGATGGCTCTGCTCACTGCAGCCCCATGGAGGCTGGGCCTCCGAGCAGTATCCTCCCCCACCCTTCCTCCACCTGTCACTGGAGTGGCCCCCGGGGCTCCCCTCCACCCGGGGGCAGGGGAGGGAGGGCTGGAAGGGTTCGGGCGGGGGCCCACGGTGGTGACGGAGCAAGTCACGCTTATCAATATCGCACGCACACACGGTCTCGGCAGTCGCTCCTCCCCGCCCGCCCACCTGCTGGAATATTCTAAGAGGCGCTGTCTGTCTCGGGTCTTCCCGGGGCCCGGCCCGCCGAGCTCCTCTGTTGCATTCTGCTTTGCAAGAGTTCATAAAAGCTTGTTCCGAAATCCTCTAGGAAGGATTTCACTGTCATGTGTAAAAGTCTGGGCTCGGCGCCATCCCACATCATCTTGAAATATATTAAGAATCATTTTCATTAATCAAGGTCCCCCCTCCTTTCATTGCGATGATATTCTCCCGTGTGCCTGGCCGCCTTCGCTGCCAACATCCATCCATCTTTCTTTCCTCTTTCTTTCTTTCATTCTTCCTTCCTTTCTTTCTCTATCAATCTACCCATCTATCTACCCATCTATCTACCCATCCCTCTATCCATCCCGCTATCTATCTATCTATCTATCTATCTATCTATCTATCTATCTATCTATCTATCTATCTATCTATCTATCATCTGTTTTTTTGGGCTGGTCCTGGGGCTTGAACTCAGGGCCTGGGCAGTGTTCCTGAGCTTTTGTGTTCAAAGCTAGCACTCTACCACTTGAGCCACAGCTCCACTCCCAACTTTTTGGTGGTTCATTGGAGATCAGCGTCTCATGGACTTTCCTGCCTGGGCTGGCTTTGAACCTGGGTCCTCCGCTCTCAGCCTCCTGAAGAGCTAGGATGACGGGTGTGAGCCGCCGGCGCCTGGTTGTCTACGTATTTTATAAACGAGTTCCACTCCTGGAATGGAGGCCTGGGGTGACATGGCCCGGCTCTGGGGTTGGAACTGATGGGAGGGCAGTCCAATAGCATTAACATTCGTCCGGAGCTGGCTGTCTCGGTTTCCTCCTCTGCCCAGCGGCAGCCACTCTGAGGGCTCCTGGAGAGGTGTTGGGGTGTCAGTGTCTTGAGGGCATGTCGCACGCTGGGAACGGCACACAGATCCACGCATCTGCAGTTCTCTTCCTGGCTGGGCACAGAGAGGGTGAGCTACGCCCCAGGCCTCACACAGCGGGTACATGGCAGAGGAGCTGTGGGCCATTGTCATCTCCCTAGAGCCGCTGTGCTCCAGCAAGGGCTTTGGACAGGTGCTCTACCACGTGAGCCGTACCCCCAGCCCCTTTTCTGCTTGACTTCTTTGCTGTTGTGGTTGTTGGAGAGTGCCTTATGTTTTTGTCCCCCGTGGACCGTGATCCTCCTCTTTCTGCCTCCCACAGATCTGGGATCATAGCGGTGAGTCACCGTGCCCGGCTTGCTGGTTGGCATGGTGGCTAAGCTTTGCCTAGGTCCTCCAGCTTGGCACCACCAGAGTAGCTGGGATTACAGGTGTGCCTCACTGTCCCTGGATGGTAGGGTTTTTATGACTCTCGATTTGTCGACGCCGAGCTGTGTCTGAGCTGTTCTGTCGGGGTCCTGTCCCCCCTCTACTCCCCTGGGGGGGCTGCATGGCCCCAGGAGCCTTCTCCTCTCTTTGGCCTCAGATAGTGACGGGTGAGATTGTCCAGATCGCCGTGGAGGTGACTGGTTAGCGTGGGGAGACGGGGGCTCAGGGGGGAAGTTCTGGGCACCTGTGTCTCAAGGTGGGGGGGTGGCGTGTGGCACCTGCTGCTGCTTCTGAGAACCGGAAGCTCACACGCTCCTCTCGGTCCCTTTCCTGGACCTCCCCCCACCTCCTGCATTGGCCTCCTGAGAGCTGAGATTACAGGCGTGCATCCCCATGCCCAACCCACCATAGCCTGCGGAGAACGCAGGCCCGCGGCACCCTCGAGACGTCTTCCGGCAGATGCCGCTTCAGAGACAGGAACTGACTTGGGGGAAGGGGAGAGAGGACACTTGTGAGAGATGGCGGCGCGGCGGTGGCTTGTTGAAATAAGATCCCCTGCGCTGTGCCGACTTCCCACGGCAAACATCGGCGCGGCAGCACCGTAGAAAATCCAGAGAGCACCCAAGGCTGGGCTGCGGTTGGTATTCGGCTGCGTGGCGCTGTCCCCCGTAGCCGTCTGGGGCCATACACTTTGTCCTCGTCCCCTGGACCCATGGCCTGGCTGCAGCACACCCCCGCCACCGCCTCCCGCACGTCCCGGCCACCCTGGCCTACCTGGCTCTCCTCTTTTCTGCCCCAGGACCTTTGCAAAGTTGCTCCTCCTTACAGTGCTCTTTGTGGCTAGAAACTTCTTCCAGGCCGGTTCACAGCCCACCGCCACGGCGAGGTCTCCCAGGGCCCCCGCTGCAGGAAGATCGGGCCTTCCTCTCTTTATCTCCTTACCTGGATCTAATTCTTCCTCGCCGTGCACCTGAGGAGATTTTTTTTCTAATTTGTTGTTGTTGGTGTTGGTGGCGGTGGGACTTGAACTCAGGGCCTGGGCGCTGTCCCTGAGCTTTTGTGCTCAAGCCTAGCTAGTGCTCTACCACTGTGAGCCACAGAGTCACTTCTGGCTGTTTGGTGAGTAGTTAGAGATAAGAGTCTCACACACTTTCCTTCCTGGCTTTGAACTGTGATCCTCAGATCTCAGCCTCCTGAGAGCTTTATCATTTTATCCCCCGAAATTACCCTCCCTCCCTCCCTTCTTTCCTTCCTTCCCTTATCTCTTTCCTTCTCTTCTTCCCCTCCCCCTCCTCTCCCTCCCCCCTTCCTCTTCTTCTTCTTCTTCTTCTTCTTCTTCTTCTTCTTCTTCTTCTTCTTCTTCTTCTTCTTCTTCTTCTTCTTCCTCTTCTTTTTCTTCATTTTGGTGAACTTGTTAGGCAGGTCCTCTACCACTTGAACCGCTCCCCAGCCCCTTCTGCTTTGCCTGTTTTCACACGGGGCCTCTGTGAGTTTGCCTGTGTTGGCCTCGGGCTGTCTCCCTCTGCGGCGCCCCCTTGCAGCTGGACTTGGGCACACCGGCGGCCCTCGATTCCCACTCTCGGCAGCTCTCGTTTCTCTGAGTTAGCTCCTTGGCTCAGTGAGGGCATGCACCCTACCTCCTGCTTGCGTGGGTTTCCCTGGGGTGGGGGGGAGCAGGGCTGGGTGGAGCGGGGGCTGGGCACACAGGGCAGCTGGGTGGCAGAGGCAGTGGGCACGGGGCAGGCAAAGGCCGCGGTGTGCCCACCTTCACCAGCCGGGATCTCACCCCCTCCCACCCGCAGTGGGGCGGAAGCAGTTCATGCGCTTTGAGTGCGCCAACCACGCCGCCGAGGCCCTGGGCTGCGAGTTCGAGGAGCTGAACACGGCCACGTTCAAGCACCACCTGCGCCAGATCATCCAGCGGGCGACGGCGGGGCCGCGGCGCGGGGCCCGGGAGGACGAGGAGGCGGCGGCCAGCGCGGGTACCGGCGGCTGGGGCGGGGAAGGCCTGAGAAACGATGGGGGCCAAGCGGGAGGCCCTCAGGCCGCGGTGAGATCGTGGCCCGGGGTGGGGGGGCTGCCTGGGACTCCACCAGCAGCCCCCGCCCGCGTGTGGGGTGAGCCGTGGTTGGGGGTGCACCCCTGGGGCTCTCTTAGCTCCCCGGAGCCGCCCCCACCCTTCAGGGTCTGCAGGCCCGTGGCAGAAGGTCCCGGGCCTCCACGGCCTCTTCCCTTCGTGTCTGGATCTCAGCTCCTGAGTGGGCGCTGGTCATCTTAACCCACGCAGAGTCCACACACGGCACACCACGCACATGGTACCCACACAGACCCACGCTCACGTTCAGACACAGTGCACACACCAGAGCGTGCACACGTTCATCCAGGTGTGTGCCACGCAAACACACACATGCATGATGTGTGTGCGCACACACACACACACACACACTTCATCCACAAATGCCACAAGCACAGGCCCGGGTCCCAGGGCCGGTGGGCTGCACGCAGGCTCCGGAGAGAGGAGGCTGTGGTTGCCTAGCAACAGCCCAGGGTGGAGGCAGAGCTGAAGGGAGGAGGGAGGAGGTGGGGGGGGAGTGTGTCCACATGATGGAATCTCTCTTAGAGTCAGGCTCTGTGGTCTGAACCCCAACCCCCCAACCCAGCTCTACCAGTGAAGGTGCACAGGGGTGCACGCGTGCGTGCGTGCGTGCGTGTGTGTGTTACGATGTTGCAAAGTCTCCATGTCAGCTGGCATGGGCACAGGCAGCCTGGCAAATGTGTGCCACGCGGTGGAGAGCTGGAGGTCACCTTAGAGGTGGAGATGGTCCCCGGAAGGCTTCCTGGAGGAGGTGGCCAACTCTCTGTTAAGCCCTTTGCTGTTTCTGTAACGATGAATCTGACACAACCCACTGCAACAGAGGACAGGTTCTCCTCAGTCCACTGATCGCCAGCCTGAGCAGACACATGGCATTGCTGGAGGAAAGCTGCTAGCTAGGGACAGTGGAGAAGCCAGGGAAGAAGAGCCCCAGGCTCCCTCCCCAGCTCTGCTAGGGCCAAGCCCCGCTGAGCTGCACCCCTTAAAGACCCCACACCTCCCAGGGCGCCATGCTGGGGCCAGGCCTCTGGGGACCCCTGAGCGGCCTGGGGGGGGGGCGGGCAGCCGCTGGCCTCGGCCTGCAGGCCTCAGGGCCTTCAGTGATGGAGGACAGGGGGGTGTGGGGGTGTCCGAGCCCTCTGCGGCTCTGTGGCCGTGTCCTTGGCACCGGGCAGGGTGGTGACCCCTGGCTCTCCCCAACCCCAGGCCTGAAGATGACAGGCGTGGAGTGCGTGGAGGGCATGGCGGCCGGCCTGTACCAGGAGCTCTTTTCCGCAGTGGTCTCGCTCATCAACCGGTACCTGGGGACTGTGGTCGGGCACAAGTGGGGGCAGGCGGGCAGTGCTGGAGTTAGCTCCCGCGCTGTGCGGCCTCCCTGCAGTCAGCCAGCGCGTCTGGGCCAGCACAGGGATCCGTGAGAGGCAGGGTGGGAGGCGTGGCTCCGCACAAGGGGCGTGGCTGGCCAGTGTGGGCGTGGCCCCACCATACAGGGCGTGTCTCTGCTACACAGCAGGGGGCGTGGCTAAGCGGTGCAGGCGGGGCTCTGCAGTACGGGTGGGAGTTGGTGGGGGCGGGGCTCGGCTGCAGGGGCGTGGCTCCACAGAAAGGGGCGTGGCTCCGCCGTGGAGGTGTGGCTCCAGCGTAGGGGCGTGGCCACTGCATCCCTGGTGGGGCGAGCCCCCACCCTTGAACCACTGGGGAAGCCCACGCTCAGAGAGGGTCAGTGACTTGCCCAGCTTCACACAGCCTGTGAGTGGTGAGCTTGGTTCTCACACCGGGTCTTCCCACCCACCTAGTTCTTCCATCTCCGCAGTGGGGAGGCTGGCGGCTTGGACCAGGGCCCGTCACACTCCGGGCCTTCTCAGAATCCCTTCTCGCTTCTCTCTCTAGATCCTTCTGCTCCCAGCACCTGTCCATGGCTTCCATCACGGTGGTCGACGCCGCCGGTTTCCAGAACCCCAGGCATCAGGGCAGAGGCCGGGCGGCCACCTTCGAGGAGCTGTGCCATAATTACGCTCAGGAGCGCCTGCAGCTGCTTTTCTACCAGCGGACCTTCGTCTCCACGCTGGAGCGGTTCCGAGAGGTCAGCTGGGTGGGCTGGGCCAGGCGAGGGCAGATGAGAGGTTGGGGGAGAGGAGGACTAATAGGACTCTGCCCTGCGGTGGCCATCGCTCTGGGTTTTGGGGACTCCTGTGTCTCCTTTCCCCACATTTGGTCCAGCAGCAGGGGCCCGGGCTCTTCCTGGCTCTGGGGGTCAGGGTCAGTATCTCTGATCTCTGGGCCCCGGCCCCTGTCCTGCCGTCTCCTGGAAGCCTATGGCTGGTGCAGTGGGAAGTCCTTTGAGGAAGGACTTGGATCATTGATAAAAGGAGCCCTGAGCCAGGCACCGGTGGCTCACACCTGTCATCCTACCTACTCAGGAGGCTGAGGTCTGAGGATCGCAGTTTGAAGCCAGCCTGAGCAGGAAAGCCTGTGAGACTATCTCCAGTCAAATCACAGAAAAAGCTAGAAATGGCACTGTGGCTCAAGCAGTAGAGCACTAGCCTTGAGCAAAAAAAAAAAAAAGGAGCTTAGAGACATCACTCAGGCCCAGAGTTCAAGCCTCAGGACCAGCAATTTAAAAAAAATAAAAATTAAAAAGAGGAGGAGCCCTGATGAGGTCAGGGTCTTGAGCTTGCTCTGTGGGTGCTCTACTGCTCAAACCATGCCTCCAGCCTGGCTTTTTGTTGGTTTTTTTTAGGATAGGGTCTGGCTTTTTGCCTGGGCATATGCCTGAACTTGGATCCTCAGGCTTGTGCTACCCCATCCTAGCCTTCCTTCTGTGGAAACTTGAGCCTCCTGGACCTTTGGGCCCAGGCTGGCCTTGAACCACAGTCCTCTGGAGTAGTACCTAGGAAGCCAGGCATGAGCCACAGAGCCCAGCTGGAGACTTTGCTTCGTAAAAGTACCACATTGCCTATTAAATTCCAGCCCTTGTGATTCGGAAGGGGGTGTGTTCACCCCATAGCGACCCAGCCAAGCGCAAAGTGGTAAGCTAACGGCTTCCAGTGGGTCTGTGCAGGCGAGCATATGCACACGCCCGTGACCGTGGTGACACTGTGAATGTCACCAGGATCCGGGAGGCCGCAGGGTGTCCTCCCCTCCTCCTCGCCCCGTGACCGTGTTGATTCCAGTAGCAAAAAGTGAGCAACTATTGGAAGTGGCCATATTGCTCATCCATACGATCAGAGACATTGAAATTCGGGTTATTCCTTTGGCAGAAGCCCAAGACAACAGTAAAAATAAAAATATCTGCGTGGATGCATTTCAAACAAATAGTATCGACAGGGCCCGGCACTAACTCTCAGGGCTAGTGTGTATGGGGGGGGTGCATCTTAGTTCCCCCCTCCACCAGAGGCCCCTCCCCATCCGCTCAGCTCACTTTGGAGCTAACAGCCCCTGTGATGCTGTCTTTTAGGAAGGTATCCCTGTGCACTTTGACCTTCCAGAGTCTTCCCTGGAGACTACGGTGGCTCTCATGGATCAGAATCCCTCTCAGGTAACCAGGGACCCAGGAAAGCAAGGCTTTTGGACTTCACTTTTTAGTGAAATGCTAGATGTGGCAAGCTTTTGTGCCAGCCCTGGGGACTGACAGAGACCCTCCCCCGCCCCCCACTGCCGGTGCCTGGGACCCATCCCTGGTTCTGCACAGATTCATCTGGGATATGGCCCGGGCAACTCGGAGGTGACAATGTCCTGGGGTTAGGAACCACCTCTCAGCCTCTGTGTGAGTGATGTCGTACGGTGGCAGGGCCTGTGGTCCGAGCCAAGGCGGCTCACCAGACTGCAGCCGCTTGTGCCGAGTTGGGTCTGGAGTTCAGATAAAGATGCTGTGCCCAACTCAGAGAAGAGAAAATGAGGCCCAGAGAAGGGACGTGATCCCCTTTAGGTCACAGGAGTGACCGGGGCGGTTGCTGCAGGAGTTCCAGCCTGGCCTGAGGTCCTTTCCGTGTACCCTGGGCCTCCGCAGGTCCACGTGGCGGCTGGCGGTGGCCCAGAGGACGCCAGGGGCCTCTTCTGGCTACTGGATGAGGAGGTGCGGGTGGAAGGTTCCAGCGACAGCGTGGTGCTCGAGCGTCTGCGTGCGGCCTTTGAGAAGAAGGGAGCCGGGGAGGAAGGTGAGGGACTAGGGGACGGAATGGGGCGAGTCCAACCTGCATGCTGGGTGCTGTTCTGCCAGGCCAGCAGGGAGGCCGTGTGTGAGCAGGAAGTGAGCGGGGAGAGCGGAGGCCGTGCGTGAGCAGGAAGTGAGCGGGGAGAGCGGAGGCTGCGTGAGGAGGAAGTGAGCGGGGAGAGCGGAGGCCGTGCATGAGCAGGAAGTGAGCGAGGAGAGCAGAGGCTGCGCGTGAGCAGGAAGTGAGTGGGGAGAGCGGAGGCCGCGCGTGAGCAGGAAGTGAGCGGGGAGAGCGGAGGCTGCGTGAGCAGGAAGTGAGCGGGGAGAGCGGAGGCTGCGTGAGCAGGAAGTGAGCGGGGAGAGCGGAGGCTGCGCGTGAGCAGGAAGTGAGCGGGGAGAGCGGAGGCTGTGTGAGCAGGAAGTGAGCGGGGAGAGCGGAGGCTGCGCGTGAGCAGGAAGTGAGCGGGGAGAGCGGAGGCTGCGTGAGCAGGAAGTGAGCAGGGAGAGCAGAGGCTGTGCGTGAGCAGGAAGTGAGCGGGGAGAGCGGAGGCTGTGTGAGCAGGAAGTGAGCGGGGAGAGCGGAGGCTGTGTGTGAGCAGGAAGTGAGCGGGGAGAGCGGAGGCTGCGCGTGAGTGGGAAGTGAGCGGGGAGAGCGGAGGCTGCGCGTGAGCGGGAAGTGAGCGGGGAGAGCGGAGGCTGCGTGAGCAGGAAGTGAGCGGGGAGAGCGGAGGCTGCGTGAGCAGGAAGTGCGCGGGGAGAGCGGAGGCTGCATGTGAGCAGGAAGTGAGCGGGGAGAGCAGAGGCTGCATGAGCAGGAAGTGAGCGGGGAGAGCGGAGGCTGTGTGAGCAGGAAGTGAGCGGGGAGAGCGGAGGCCGCGCGTGAGCAGGAAGTGCGCGTTTAGGGTGGAGGGCTGGGCTCTGTCCCGCACAGGCCAGGCTGGGTGCCCCGCCAGGCGGGAAGACTGGTATGGGCTCATGCGCATGCTGTGAGCATCGGTAGACTCCTGTGAAAAGCAGAAGAAAAACGAGGTCAAATACCAGATAGAAAGATTGATGAACAGAAGAACAGATAGATAATGGATGGACAGAAAGATAGAGGATAGATAGATGAATGGATAGATTGATGGATGGATGGATTGGTAGATAGGTGGATGGCTGGATAGATAGATGGATAGATGGATGGATGGATGGATAGATAGATAGATAGAGGAATGGATAGATAGATGGGTAGATTGATAGCTGGATGGATAGATAGTTGGATGATAGATTGATGGATGAATGGATAGATGGATGGATGGATGGATAGATAGATAGATGGATACATGCTAGATAAATGTTTGCAGATGCCTACATTTTAATAATACGAATGTATGTCCTGACACTAACACACTAATACAATAGTGTTGCACGCACACACACAACGGTTGGGGGACTGGCCCATGAGGCAGCAGTCCTTATTACTCTGGAAAGTTCCCTCACTCTGGAGGGTGCTGGCATTGGGCCAGACCAGTACTGACAGCCCCCCCCCCTTACCCTCCCTCCCCGTCCTGGCTCTGCACTCTGAGATGCACTGACTCCTTTGCCAGCCAGTGAAGGACAACAAGAGGGTGGAGGAAACTTGGGTTTCCGGAACTTTCAGTTGGGCAGACATTGTGGATGTCTGGTGAGGTGCCAGGGTCAGATACAGGCCAGGTGGCTGCTGGTGCTCACCCATGTAGCAATTATTTTTGTGTGTGGGGGGGTTGCTGGTCTTGGGTCTTGACCTCAGGACCTGGGCGCTGTCCCTGAGCTTCTTTTGCTCAAGGCTAGCGCTCTACTGCTTGAGCCACAGCTCCACCTCCGGCTTTTTGGTGGCTAATAGTTGTTGGTAAGAGTCTCACAGACTTTCCTGGCCAGACTGGCTTTGAACCACAATTCTTGGCTCTCAGCCTCCTAAGTAGCTAGGATGACAGACGTGAGCCACTGGCGCCCAGCCCAGATGCAATATTTTATGCACCTCATTTCCTTTAAGCCTATGCTGCCCACTGAGGTGTCATACTGGGGAGGAAACAGAGACTCAGAGACTCAGTGTCTCTGCCAACTCTTACACAGCAGGGGATGGCGGGCAGCCTCAGGCCCAGCCCAGCTCAGGCTCCCTTTGGTCCTGCTTTCTCTTCCCACTCTGCCAGCATTAGACATGTGCATGCATGCATGCATGCGTGTGCGCACACACACACACACAGCCCTCAAGAGGGCACTGAGCATTTATTTCCTTCCTGATCACCAAGACAATTTTTAGACGGTGTGCGAATAAATATTTTAAAAGTATTTAATAGCTACTTATCCCCATGCATATTAGGAAAATACATAATGCTCGTACATCAAACTCACAGTGCAATGTTTCTTTAAACAACAACAACAAACAAATGTACTTGTGTAACACAGATAAATAGCCTTCTTAAAGGATGCATTCAGCAAATTGCAGCATCGGGGAGAGACGTGGATGCCTATCGAAAACGCACCCAGGGGACCGAAACCGACAAAGGCTGGCTGAAATAGGGGTCCAGGCTTCCCGAAAACAGAGAGGGATAGAAATCCACTTTGGAAATAAAGTTGCCTGTGTTCCCACGTGCTGTGACCTTTAGCTGGCTGGAAGTAATAAAAACTTACTGTGTTCTTGGGGTGCCAGCAGCTTTCTCAGTATCCCCTGTGGGCCTGGCATTCACCCCAACCCCTTTGTGTGTCGCATAGGACCCCCCGCCCTCCGGACCTGTGAGCAGCCCCTGCAGTGCGAGGTGTTCCACCAGCTGGGCCAGGATCCCGTGCGCTACGACCTCACCGGCTGGCTCCACAGAGCCAAGCCCAACCTCTCGGCGCTCGACGCTCCCCAGCTCCTGCATCAGTCCAAAAGGTGAGCCAGGTTGGGTCGGGGGTGGGGAGGGGAGGGATTGTACCTCCTTCTCCCAGTGGGAGTTCAAAGCCCCAGAGAGGCCCATCCTAGAATCCACAGATGGTGACTCCAGTGGGAAAACCAGCTGCTGGAGAACAAGCTGGTCAGAAAACCGAAAGAAAAAGAAAAAAAAAAAAACAAGTGGAGACTTAGGTTGGCGCTTTGCCTTTCATTAAGTCTCGGGGAGATGATGAGAATGGAACCATTTTTATGAACATCCTGGAGCTCCGGGGTCGTAAAACTGAAACAGAGACATTTTGTAGCATTAAAAATAAAACACCTTCACGGCGTCGTTTCCTGACCACTCAACCCAGAGATGTGGCGCAAGGCTGGCAGCTCCTGCTTTGCCTCCATAGTTTGTTTTTTTTTTTTGGGGGGTGCATGTGGGTGCACCTCCTAGGTCTATGCACACGCAAGTGTGTGCATGCATGCACCTCCCATGTTTAAGGCTGGTTTCTTGTGATGTCGATCTTGCAGCAAGAAAAGGAGGCTCTGGGGCCGAGGGTAGGTGTTTACCACCTGCTCCGGCACCCAGGCTGTATTTTATACAAGGACCTCATTCATGCTCATGGCAACTGTGTGTCCTTAGACCCATTTTACAGCTGAGAACAGCGAGGCTGCAGCTGGGGAGGCAGCTCGCCTCTTGATCACACAGCAGCTCTGGGATACGCCGGAAGTCTAAGCGATGCCCGGGACCCCTGTCAGGCCGTTGTGGTCAGAGTTAGGGGGAGAGCCCAGGGCTTGCAGCTCCTGCAGAGGAGTCAAGGCGGGGGGCACGGGGCAGAGGGAGGGGTCAGGAACCCACAGAGGACTCAAGAGGGGAGCACAGTCCTGTCCTGTGTCCCCCGCGTGACCGGTGAGCTGTCTGTCGCTCCCTCTTCTGCGGGCAGGCTGCAGGACGGCTCTGCGTCTGTCTTGAGTCTGGGTGTATGGGGATGGACATGCCCGCCCCCCCCCCCCGTTCCCTCTGCAAGCCTGGAGGTCTTTCTGTGAGGCTTCGGGGATGTCAGGCAGCTCCATGGCGGGACCCAGCCTGTGTCTCAGCACCTTGGAGAGTTCCACCCCACTCTCTGGTCCTGGGGGAGCTGAGCTAGGGCAGAGCAAGGCCAGGCTTTGCTTTGCTACCAGCCTGACACAGCGTGGGAAGGGGGCCCAGCAAAGCCCAGCCCCGGGGAGCAGGGGGAGGAAGCGCTGACCTCGGGGGCGGGCCTGCCTCCCGGGGCCTGGGGCCCCAGGGATGTGCGCTCAGCCCCCGCGGTGGGGTGCTGAGGAGCCTTCCAGATGTTTCTCACTGGAGCTTCAGAGGAACTGATTCTGTCCGTCTTTTATAGCAGGAGAGCTAAGGGATTCTCCCAGGGAAGAATGGGGGTGCTCTCACCTCTTGCTCCCCCTGAAGCTCCCTTCCCTCCTCTCCCTCCCCCCGCCCCCTGCCCAGGGAGGAGCTGCTCAGCCTGTTCCAGGCCCAGGCCAAGCTGCCCCCGGTGTGCCAGGCGCTGGCCGGGCTGGCCGCCACTTCGCCCCAGGCCCTGCAGCGGAACCGCGTGCTGAGGCGGGCGTTCGCCGGCAGCCTCGGTGCGCTCAAGAGGAGAGCGTCGTGCGCCCAGATCAAGCTGCAGATGGTGAGGGTTCCCCCCCGCCCCCCTAGCCTGCAGGACCCCAAGCCCCTCTGGCCTGGGCACTTCCCCGCATCGTCTGACCCCCCCCGGCAAAGCAGGGGGGGCGCAGGCTTGGCGGAGGGGACGGATGCCGCAGGAGCTCTGTCTGCCTTTCCCACGGGGAGGATCTGTCTTTGGGGGTGCAGGGAGTCGGGTTCGGCAGCAGACATCCACCTGTGGCCTACGCCCGCAACACCAGCCCGCTAACAAATGGCCCGGATGCCGGGAAGCATTTACGTTTTGAAGTATCTTCCGACGTAGGAGCTCTTACACGATTCTGTCTGTGTGGCTTGGGAATCCCTGGAGGGCGCTCTCCCTGCCTCAGTTTCCCCGCCTGTCTCAGCAGGAGCGATTATAAAGGTCCCTCCTATCTTATCAGTACAAACCAGGACGGAGGTGGGAAACGCTTGGTTTAGGACTCAGGGGGCCCCAGGGGCAGCCCGCGCTCACGGCTCTCTGCTTGGCTGTAGGATGCCCTGGTCAGCCTGCTCAGCCGGTCTCAGCTGCACTTCATCCACTGTCTGCTGCCGGCCGCGGAGGTGGAGAGCGATGCTGGTGGAGAGCAGCCAGGGGCGGGCCAGCCCCAGGCCCTGGACGTCCCGGCTCTGAGGGCCCAGCTCGCTGGCTCTCACATCCTGCAGGCTTTGCGGCTCCACAGGGCAGGTGAGGGCCAGCGGGGTCGGAGCACCTGACCTCCCCCCCCCCAGGTCACCAATGACGCCTCGGGAGTGTGCACGCGGCCCGCTGCGGGCCTGTCTGGACAGCCCTGCACGGGAGGCCATCTTCCACCTGACACACGAGTGCATCTCAGGGCGGGGAGCTGGCCTGTTCATGCGGACAGCACAGGATGGCCGGGCTGTGTCTCACTGGTTCTTTTGGGAATGGGGCGGGGAGTGGGGTGGATTTTTCCAAGGAGCCCTGGTCTCAGGAAGGTCAGTTTGGTTGGTGCAATGATAGGCCAGAAGCTGACCCCCGCGCCCGCAGGGGTGTCCCGCAGGGGTGTCCCGCAGGAAGCAGGCAGGGGCACCGAGAGCTGGGGTTTGGAGGGTGGGGTTCAGATTGGATGGGGAGCAGCGGGGGATGAGGCTGCTGGGTCCCCCCGGCCGTGTCCCCCACTTAGCGATCACAGGGCTTAGCAGAGGAGACGCGAGTTTTAATCAAGGGGACAAAGTTTTCTCCTTTATACCAGAGCAAGCAACCTCCCACCTGTCAATCTTGGTGCTTTTATGGTGTCGGTCCCGGGGCTTGAACTCAGGGCCTGGGTGCTGTCCCTGGGAGTTATTTTGCTCAAGGCTCACGCTCTAACATACGAACCACAGCTCCCATTGGACTTTTTTTTCCCGTGGGGGGGTGCACTTTCTTGCCCAGGCTGGCTTTGAACCGTGATCCTCAGACCTCAGCCTCCTGAGTGGCTGGGATGACAGGCGTGAGCCGCTGGTGCCCGGCTGCCGTCAGTTTAATCTTAGGTGTTGGGTGTGACCTTAAATCTCCTGGTGTCTTTTTATTTCCTGCTCTCAGCGCTATTCCTCCGCTGGTCACTTAGAAACGCTTCAGGCAGAGGGTGGGCGCCTGGGCCGGTGGCGGGGGTCTTAGACGGCCACTTGTTCACTCCCTCTGGAGTCCCCAGTGCCCAGCCTGGGGTCCAGACCCCCATCACAGGAATAATGGAACCTGGGGACACCCAGTGAGCACTTCACAGAGAAGGTGGGAGACTCAGAGGAGCCCTCTCCCCCACCCCTCCTCTCCCCTCCTCATCTCTCCCCGCTCCCTCCCCCTGCAGACCCCCTCCCCTCCCACCAGCCGATTGATGGATCCATCCATTGGTTCTACCTAGCTGGCCGGCTGGTGCTGTGGCGCTCTCCCCCGCCCACGCGTGTTCTTTTGGGGTGTCCCTGGCTCATGTGCGTTTGTGCACTGTGCGTTTGGATTGTGTGGTCAGGGCTCAGCAGTGCAGCTGCTGGCCGGCCGGGCTTGCTGAGATTCTCTCATGTCCCTCACCGGCCCTTCCCCTGCTCCCCCCACTGGAGAAGTCCATCCCTCCTGGATCTCAATCCCACATCACTACAGGGGTGGATGATAAGCAAGGTCTAAGTCGGGTGTGGTAGTGCATGCCTGTAATCCCAGCTGTGCAGGAGGCCTAGATTAGTAGGAAATCATCATTCAAGCTTAGAGGGGACAAAAAATAAGTAGACATAAAAAGGAGACCTTATCTGAAAAGAGAGGAAGAGGGGTGCGTGGTGGAGCAGCGGTCCGGCAAGCGCGCGGCTCCAAATTCAAACTCAGGCGGCGGCCCTAGCGGGGTTCGGAGGCTGGGCCTGCGTCTGGAGCTCTAGGCCCGTCTCCTGGTTTGGACCCTGACTTCTCTTGCCCCCTTAGGCTTCGCAGACCACATGGGGCTCCCCCAGTTCCGCAGGCGCTTCCAGGCTCTGGACCCTGCGCTGCTGAAGCGGCTGGCGTCGGGGTCCGAGGGCGTGGACGAGCGGCAGGTACGTGCGGGAGGGGGCAGAGGGGCTCCCGTTCTACATGGGGTCACTGCGGGGCGGGGGGGGGTGCAGGAGGAGCCACGCAGCACTGTCCCCCATCTTGGCGGTGGCTCATCCTTCCGGGCTGGGGGCCACCAGCCCTGTATGGCCGGGGACACTTGGTCCCAGGGAGCGGACTGGAGCCATGGTGAGGCTGGGGGGGGGGGCTCCTCCGCTCTGGTAACCGGGCAGCGGTGGGGCGTGGGGTGCTCTCTGTGGGGGCGTGGGGCATCGTGCCCATGGCGGTGTGTGTGTGTGTGTTCTGGACGGCTCTGAAGGATCGCGGCGTGGTCGGGCCAAAGCCGCCTTCCTGCGGGTGCTCCCAGCACCTCCAAAAATGGAAAACTACAAGTGGAATGGACTGGATTGGATATTTTCCCCTCTCTCTCTCTCTCTCTCCTTCTCTATTTGCTCACAAATCCCATTTGCTGCAGCCTAGAATTATGGTAGCAAAGGAAAAAAAAACAACAAAAAAAGGAAACACCAGGAGAAAGCTGATAAATATTCATTTGTCGGCCACGTGACCCGCCATGAATTACCCATGAGCACGTGTGCTGGGTGCCTGGTGGGCACCGGCGGCCTCAGCCCGCACAAAGCCCTTTCAGACCATGGGGGGGGGGGCAGGATGGGGCCAGACCGAGTCAGAAAAGGTCAGTGCTGGCCCTGGACACCAGAGGGCAGCAGAGGGCACGCGTGGTGGTGGTGGTGGGGGGTTGGCAGAGAAGTTCCTGGGTTCCTCTCACAGGACACCGCTGCCCCCCCCACGCCTGTGCCTGGACCCCAGCAACCGGTGCCCATTCTGTGGGCTTGGGCTGGGGATTTTGTGTCCCCCAAACAAGGATAGCCATTTCCCCCATCCCTGGAAGCATTTGTCACCAAATCCCTAGGTGAGGAGCAGAGATGATCCTTCAGGCAGCCCAGGCATAGCTGGGATTTGAACTCAGGCCTTCAGAGTGCCCCGACAGAGAGTTCGAATGTTTCATTGTGCTGATGGGAGGCACCCAGGATCACCTTTACACCTTGGTCCCTTAATTTGGTGCCGTGCCAGGGGCTTGAACTCACAGCGCTGTTGCTGAGTGTTTCTCACAGGAGGCTGGCGCTCTACCACTTGGGCCACAAGCAATGGTGGTCCCGTCCCTTTTCCGAGGGCCACCCCTCCCCCACTTGGTGAAGACTGTTCCTGAATATAAAATGAAGAAGCAAAAAGACAGAGAGGGATATTTACACACACACACACACACACACACACACACACACACACACAGAGAGAGAGCTTAAAAAGACCTGTGGCCTATTGAAAACAAATAGCAACATGATTTGTATAAATCACGCTAAATGCCAGCGGACTGAGCGTCCTAAGAAAAAAGGCGGAGGTGGTTGGCCTGGCTTCTGGAAGGTCAATGAATTCTAAGAAGGAGGAACACAGACACCCCGAGATATATCGCAGTCAAAACGCTGGGAGTCTCCCCAACCCACGGGAAGATCTGACAGGAAGGGAAGAGTCACAGACAGCACAAAGGGAAACAGGGCCAAGACCAGCCAGAGAAAGATGCAGGGAGGGCTCGAGGCCAGGGCCGGCCGGCCTGCCTTCCTGCCTCCCTCCCTCCCTCCCTTCCTCCCTTCCTCCCTCCCTCCCTCCCTC